AGAGCGCATCGACGCCATTGTGCGGATAGGGATGGGGACGGCACTGGCGATCCCAGCATCGAGCTCCCGGAGATACTCCTCAAAAGCGACGCGGTGGGCGTCCTCGTCCGAGATCGTGCGATGCAGCGCCGTGGGGAAACGGGCGCGGTTCAGGTCGAGCGAGTGGAGAGGCTGCCCGAAGCTGCTGCTGCTCGAGTGGCTGGAGGAGCGCGTGAGCGGAATGTCGAGGTTCGGGCCATAGAAGTCCTGGTCCGTCAAGAAGATGTGGTGCTCCGATCCAGGTACACTGATCGGCGGGCGCGAACTCGAGGCGGTGGATGGTCCAGGCGTGGCGGGCCGTCGAGACGATGATGGTCCAGCCGTCGCGTTACGGGTATAGGAAGCCGCAAAGCCCGACGCCGGTTGAGGCCCGTAGTTCACCTCGAAAGTAACATGGCGCGGAGTGGGAGCAGCAGGCTGCGCCGGGGTCAGAGTCGAGGCCGGGTTGAAACGCGTTGGCGCAGTAGGGGTACCCAGGAGCGGGGCACGCGTCCTTGGTGTCGCGACGAGCGTTGGGCGGGTGCGGTGGACAAACCGAGTGCGCTGCAAGAGGCCCGGCGAGCCAGGCCTGCCGCGCGGCGTAGCCGGCGGTGGGGGCGGGGACGGGGAAGCAGACTCGAGGCGGGCCCGCTTGGTGCGGCGATGGATCGTGGCAGGCGGGGCAACGTCCGATGTGGACAGCCGGGCCTCCATCTCGCCCGGCGGCAGGGTGCGAGTGAGCACTGTCTCCTCCGAGAGTGTGGTCGTCGTGGAAGGCGGGGTCACCGCAAAGCGACGACGCGGCGGGCTTGCGGAGAGCGTACGGGCGGGGGAGGCGGCCTGCGCACTCCGGGTAACAGCAGGAGTACGCGACCGCGACTCCGCATACACAGCGAGGTGCTGAGGGGGGGCACCGCTGGCTGCACGCTCCGGCGCACCCGGCGGGGCAGCACGACGCCCAGTGCGAGAGACCTATAGCACATGTTTGGTAGGTGAACGGCACGCAGAGCCCATACAACGTACCGTAGTCCACATTGGGCTTTCGCGAGCCGGCGAAGCAGCGCGAGGGCTGCCCGGCGGCGTGCGCACAACTTGGGCATACGAAAGGGGAACAGCCGGGTGGGGCGACGGCGAGAGCACTGGCGGAGAGCGCCTTGCCAAGGCAAGCCCGACCGCATCCAGCACAGGGCCGCAGGCAGGGGAGCGAGCAGGAGAGCAGGTAGGAGACGGCGGAGTGGACATAGTAAAGCTGCAGTGGGATGGGGAAAAAAAAAGGTCGCAAGTGCGATGTTTTCGTCGATGCTGGCGCCGCTTTTTAAGAGAGGGACGAGCGAGGGCGCGTAGCCTCCTTCCGCGAGTAAACCCATTCCTCGGCACAGGCTGTAGGCAGGGATGGCGTTGTCTTCGTAGCGCAGTATACACCATCCGGAATTCTTGACGACCCATTCTCGCACCGGGTGCAAGGTATTTCATGGGACAGAGTGCCGCTGCCACTAGTTTAATGCGCCAGCCGCAGCCGGTATATGTTATTTACATACTCCCTGCACCGACATTGTCAGTGCCGTACTGAAATTTCAGCATCGTTCGGCATGGTGCCGTTAGCTCACCAAACCAAAGGGGCGGTGACACACCAATTCGCGCACCCGCCATCTTTCTCCCGTAAAGGTAGTACGCGGCGGCCAGAGCCATCAGCTTCTTCCGTTGCCTGGCAGTTGGTCCCCGTCGATGGGGCAGTCGGCAGTGGACAGGCGGCAGGGGCGCTCCAGTTAGCATAGATCCCCTGCCAGCAACTTTGGCGGCGAGAGGAGATCCTCAGACGCCTAACGACACTCGTAGAACAGCAGGAGTTCAGCAGGGCGCCCCTGGATAGCACAGTAATTACGGAGAGGAATACAGCAGTAGTGAGATTCGTTCGTCCAGAGTAGGCGGGAGAGAGGGGGGGGGGGTTGCAGGGACGATGTCAGGAGAGGAGGTACCGTAGGCGACGACTATCCGTGATACCAGTCCGTCTCACTCCACACCGGCGCCTCCATACTGCGCCGGCCGCCCATCCTTCCCACGCGCACATCGCTCGTCCATCGGCTCCGCTCACTCGGTCCGGCCACCGACGTCATGTAGGGCATTCTCCTCGTCATTCCCAGACTCCTTCCCGTCCAACCGGTAGGCCGCCACTCGCTAAGCGGTCTCGTGTCCGCCTGATAGCGATTGTTCATCGGCCCAGACGTTGGGCGCATACGGCCGTCGCATTCGTAGCCTCCGTGCTGACCAAGGTACGCAGCGCTCGTCACCATGTCCTCTCGCGGCGCCTGCATACCCCAGTTATCATCAAAGCCTGGGCGCCGGGGAGCCGACCGGCTCGCGGGCGCATACGGTCGTGATAGAGGCGGGGAGGGCGGCCGGGCCGGCCACTCCTCAGGCGTAGGGTCTTGCAGATCGGAGAGTCGGAGTGCAAGGTCGTCGGCGAGTTGAGTCGGAGCTGCAGCCATGCGGGGATTGGTGCTGAGACGGAGAAAAGCCTGCCGCACCAGGGCGTGTTCATCATCATTCCTCACCACGAACTCAACCTCCTCCACGCTTCTCTCGCGCTCGCCAACGATCCGGCCGTAGATTCCGAGCGGCACAGTGACCGCCCGGTTCGCACTCTCCCTTGTCCCATCCAGCTCCTGTAGCGACGAGCAGAGGAGGTAGAGGTGGAGGTTGTCGCCAATATCGAGCGGGTAGGGCGGTGCTACCACAACTTCGTACATTGCGGTCCTCGATCCCGGCGGGGCTGGATGACGAACAGAGAGGAGAGGCGTGACATACACCGGGGTGTATTCTCCACGAGGCACGGCAGAGGAGAAGACAGGCGGTCTGTATGACATGTTTTCAGGTGAAGCAAGTGGGGATTTCAGGCCTGCCGCCTCTGCCACTAACTGCTTTATACATAGTTTGTTAAGCGAGTGTTGCCCGGCGCAGTCCCAGCAGTAGAACACTTTAGCGGAGCGCTCCGCTGCCAGGATTACGTTGCTAGGAGGGGAAGGGGAAGAGGAAGCAGGGAGTGTGATGAGCGCTGGCCACAGATTGGTGCTCTAGGGTGAAATTCTGTTACGCGACCGCTTTTTATGAGCTCATGCCGCAATACATGCCGTGGTCATCTTCTCAGCACATGGTGTGATACTTCGTCAGCTGTATGTCATGCCAGCTTCTTTATCAGGCGCGCATCGCCCAGCACGGGGCACCGAGCATAGGAGTCAGTTCCCCAGACACACTGCAGCTTCGGAGAGAATGGGGGATACAGTATAGCCCCATTTAAGCAACCATATGGCCCCTACCATATACACACATACATTATGCAGTATCCCCGGTGTACTGTAGGCACACTTTTAACGCCTCGAGACAGCCTGCACTTTGTTCGAGCGCCCTTCTGAACACACCACCCACATGTCCCGATCCAGCCACCTTCAGAGAAGCAGCAATCATACGCCTTCCCCGTGCTAAGTTCCGAGTTTTCCGGGCCCGAGGCTGACCTTCCTGGTGCCTGCCAAGCCATACCGCCATGCGTCATATCGGGCCGCCCGCCCGCACCAGCGATGCGGCACCCGAGCGCCCGCACACACTCACGCGCGTGGACACATTTATTTTTACACCCACCGCCACATTCCTCACACGTCGGGCGACAACGCCCGCACCCCATCGCCGTCTAGCCCCTCATCTTGCAGGCCCATGAGGCCTGAGGTGGAGCGCCAGACCCAGGTACGCAAAGAGAGTGCGACGCGCCGGCACCGCGTCCTTCATGCCCCACTGGTCCCCTACTGTCCCATACAGCCTGCGTACACCTCATCCACACGGTTTGATCTGTTCACGGACCGTTCATCAGCAAGGCTGGCATCCGTCCTTGGACAGGTATCTGGCATAACACAGGATCCATTCACGGAGCTCCCGCCCCGAGGGGCTGTACTCCTAAGAGTATCGCAGCGGACTGCAGCACGGCTAACCGCGACCATCCATAGACTCGAACCAGAGGCCTAGGAGCCAGTTACTTACAGGAGAGGCAAGCTAGACCTAGGGAGTAGGGGAAACAGTGTTATTCCGCCACCGCAGGCGTGGGAAGAAAACCAGATGGTGGTGGTTCATGGTCAAGGAGCTCAAGAACCCAGGAACGTCGTCTGCGTATATCGCGGAACACACACCTCGTGTGAACAGAGTAGTCATGCGTACGGGACGTCGCGACCGTCTGCTTGCCAGGGCTCCGATTCAAGTGCCTCTTCGACTGAACCTTACGCGCTAAAAGGCAAGGCCGGCTGTACAATGAGACGTTGATAGATCGTAGTCGACTTGATGCTGCGAGAGTCAAAGCGATGACAAACTGATGTTGCACCACCTTGACCGACATAGGTCAGCCTGGACCGTCTTCTCTGTGAGTACGCTGACAAAATTGGGCCCCGCTTATTACTTACAAATCAGTGCAGAGCCGCATATTCCAAGTCCGGCGCGGCGGCATTAGAAGCTTCGTTCTCCTATTGTCAATGGGTTTGCGGTATGCGTCTGAAAGGGTGTTGCGGTACTGTCAGTGGACAGAATGGTTTAGAGGGCGATGCCAGCGGAGAAGACAGCGATGCGAGAGTTCGGCACGGCCTTTACAGTCCCCCCAAAAGACATTCTTCGCCTAAAGAACATGGGTGCGGCAGATTGAGAGATTTTGCTGCCAGTTCCTCGAGAAAGAGACTCTGCAAGTTGCCAGCTAGGTGCATGAGGGTGTATGTGCTGTATTTAGTCAACGATATACTATAAGAGTCAGCCGTCACGGTCCATGATAATATGCATTGCGTACCACATTGAAGCTCTCTCCTTCCTACGGCCACTTGGATTATCAGCCCCAGTCCCTAGGTCAACGTGGCCGAGTGGGCTTGCTCAGAGAGGCACATGTTTGAGCGGCGAGTATGTCAACTGCCAACGCAACTTCCGAAGGTGATAGCTACATGAGCGTGAGCGCTACACAAGACACCATAGCCAAGTGGTTACGGCGACAGATTAGAATCGCCTCGGTGAGTATCTGTTTCACTTTGTGAGCGCAGGTTCGAGCCCTGCTGGTGTCGTGCTGTTTTGCCCCCGCTTCACATGTAATTTAAATCTCGCTCGAGCCCAAGCGATGTGGACGGCGGGAGTACGAGGGAGGGAGGAGGGCACTGCGGCTGAGCGCTGAGGGATGGAGGGTGGCACCGTGATGCTTGGACAATCTAGATTTGTTGATCCATTCTTGTCAAGTACAGGTCTTTTCGACGACATCTGAACGCTGCTTCCTCCCGACTTTTGCATCCTCCTCAGGTTCACTACTGCTTCCCGGAGTAGACTGCAAGTTGTTCGAATCGAGAGGAAAGTAGTATGCGAGGTACGTAAGTGATCCGACTCGGATAGTGCTAGGCGCTTTTACTTGATACGTGTTGGCAAACCTGAGGGACACCGTCGCCGGTCACTTTGCTTACTTCCTCTTACACCTTCGCGAATCGCCTCAAGTATTGTACACCTTATCACAACTACCCTATTTGTAGGAATAGGAAGCACTCACAGGTGAGTATGCACGAGATGTTGGTGGTCGGCGCGTCATGCAATATCTGTCGCTGGCAGCTGACGGGCATTGTCACGTCCAGAGCAGTCTTAGCGATCCCTGCTTCGCCCAATCCTCCGCGTTCCCAAGTGTCTCGACCAGGTTAGAGACATTCAAAACAACCAGGGGGCTCGTAGTACACCTCGACGACGCGGAAAATCGGACGATGATCGTGACCTCACAGGCGCCCCGTCTCAGCCAGGACATACTTTTGGAGCTTCTGAACCATGTTCAACGCCAGTCAGACGTGTCCACGCTGATGCGCACCTGCAAAACACTTCGGGATGCCGGCACCAGACCTCTCTTATCCCATGGCGTGACGGTCGCAAACGCCACGCAGCTACGCACGTTTTGCGCGTACGTGCTCCGCGACGTTCCCAACCGCGCGCCTCATCTTCGACGGCTCTACCTCAAGATACGGCTCGAGCCTAATGTGGATGACGAACCCGAGGACGACTCCGACGCGAAGAACAGCTATTCCAGCGCCACGTTGTCGAAGGACACCTTGCGCATGCTTGTCACGGTACTGCGAAAAACGACCAACCTCGAAGACCTCAGCATCGACTCGAGCGAGGAGCTTCTCGAGCGCGAGAACAAGCTCGTCAACGCCATCATCGCGCTCGAGCGTGTCCGCCGCCTCCAAGTCCACTCTGTCGGGGAGCTCACCGGGCGCATTCTCGATAACATCAAGTCTTCCCTGGTCGAAATCGACTTGCACTGCTACTCCGAGGAGATGTACGACCCCTCGCCACTCATCCCCATGGCAGGACACCATCGCGACACTCTGGAAAAACTCAGCGGGTGGTACGTCGAGCTCGGCGACGCAACCGTGCGATTCCCGCGCGTTCGCGCGCTTGCGTTACGCTCGTTCTGGGGACTCGATACGGCTACCCTTCACCACGCGTTCCCGAGCCTGCAGTATCTAGAGCTCAGCGTCCCCGCAGATCTCGATGCCGAGCCCACGCGTCAGGAGAACGCAGCTGCTGCCGAGAATCATCCATGGGGTGTCCTCCGTCGTCTTTGCGGCGCCGTCGATGCCCTGTACGCCCTTGGGACCGCCCCGCGCGCGAAAGTGGTGGAGGCGGACTACATCGGCTCCTATGACGCCACGATGCTCGCTCGGTTTCGCACAGTGCTCTCCGAGTCGGGTTCCTCACACGCAGTGCTCCATTTGGGTTACGGCTACGGGTTCTCTTTGCCCGCTGAGAAGATACCAGACTTGCTCCCGATCGAGGGGGCGGTTACACATCTCGCGCTGGACATCCGCACAGGCTCCGTAATGGGAGCTGTGGATGACGTGCTTGTGAGTAGTCCTGCGAGCTCCCGTCTATGCCGCTAGCGTATGGCTAACACATGCATAGTCACAAATAGTCTCCCTCCTTCGTCGTCACAAGGTAGCTTTTCTCGTTCTCCGCCTCCACGACACCCTTGAAGATGCGGAGGATGGCGACGACGAGGACGGCCCAGCACCCATTAAGCCCCCGTCTCCGGAGTTCCTGCGAGTCTTTGGGCGTCCGCGCCACGAGGACATCATCCAGCTGTTCTCCGAAGCCAGTACATCTCTCAAGCACGTCGCACTGGACGTCAAGGGTACAGAAGCCACGTACTGGGCCGTCGAACGAACGGGAGCAGGCCTATCGGTGGAGAGACTTAGTTCCGCGGCCGGACGGGCGCTGGTCTGTGCGGAGGAGCTGGCGTCGACGGACAGGAGCCTGGGTCTTCAGGGAGTCCCGTGAGGAGTGCAGCCCTAGCGGCGGCATTCATCTCCATTCTTGTTATCGCATCGCGCCATTGTGTCCATGCTTGGATTCCTTACGCTAACATTGAGCACTTTGTAATTTGTTAGCGTTTACTTGGTTGGGACTGACGCTCACAGACGTTCTTTGAGTGGCAGTGAAGACACAATCACATCCTTTTGCGGGCTTGTGGTCCCTTGATCCATCGTCACGACAGACAAAGGGCGAAGTCCACCTGCCGCCATAGCCTTGCGATAGCCTCAAATTTGACAAAACGTTTAACTGTGGTAAGCCTATCGCACGGTTTTTCAGACTATAACACGCGGTGGATTTCGCACCTTGTCTGCCGTGCGTGCTAGACGGAATGTTTTGGCGATCGACGCGACGCGTCCTCGAAAACTCTGTTCAAGACGCTGTATTCCCGCCACTGTAGGACTCATAGTGCAGACTCGAAGTTTGATGCTTACCTTCTGAGATTGACAGGGGAAAGCTGTGTAGTGCAGTAAGCTCTACGAGGGCGTGGAATGAGATATGTGGTATTTGTACACGTGTCCTGCTCGCTAGGTAAGGCATCTTCCAGCTGTTATCCATCGTGGCTCGCCATGTCTCACATGCCGCCGTGCCACCGCCGACTCCCCAGAAACAATGGCAAAAGACCACACCCGGACTGTTCCTATTGTACCATGTCTGATTTAAAGTCCTTCCAAGCCACAACGCCTGTGCCAATCCTGACGACGAGCGGCACCTACATCTGGGAAGGCCGACGACCTGGTTCTGCAGAACCACCATCCTCTTCCCCGTAATCTGCTGCAAGCCAGCTATTCAAATATTGACTGCCAAGTACTCACACACGGTTTGTGATCCTCACCGCCAGTAGGACGTTGAACTGACGCGCCACCCAGCGACAACATCAACGCCGCTCGCCCACGCCGCTCACCCAACCACACCACCATGATGCTCGACCTAGACATCTGCGCGATGGTGCTCGACCACCTCGACCGCCGCGCCGACATCACCGCATTCATGCGCGCGTCCCGGCTCTTCTCCACCGTCGGCGCGCGGCGCCTCCTCCACACCGGGGTCACCCTCCGCACAGGACCGCGGCTCGACTCCTTCAGCCGCTTCATGCTCCGGGACCTCGACGCGCGGGCCCCGTCCCTCCGCCGGCTCGTCCTCTCCTTCGAGCTCCTCCTCGTAGACGACGAAGCCGCGCAGGAAGGCGAGAAGCTGCGGAACATGCCCCGGGTCGCCGCGCAGCTCGCGCGCGTGCTGCGCCACACGACCAACCTGCAGCACCTCACGATCCACTTCTGCGAGGAGCTGCTGCAGCGCGAGGAGGCCCTCGTGGGCGCGCTCGTCGGCCTCGAAAGCGTCACGCATCTCACCGTCTCGTCGTACGGCATCCGCACGCACGACGTCGTCACCGGCATCCGCTCGCCCCTCGTGCACGTGAACGTCGACTGCTACACGAAGACACAGCACGACATCAACCTTATGCAAACCCTCGCACGGCACCGCGACACGCTCGAGACCGTCACAGCGTGGGGCGTCAACCTCTCGGCACAGTTCCTCGCACAGGACGACGCGGACGACGCGATCGTCTTCCCGCGCGTGCACGCGCTGAGCATCCGCTCGTCCCTCTCGCTCGACCGCGCAGCGCTCGTGCGCGCCTTCCCGAACGTGCGCACGCTCGAGGTCGCGGACGTGCGCCTGCCAGTGGCCGCGCGGCCCCCGGGCCCCCTCGTGGCCGCCGCCCAACAGCTGGCCGCTGCGAACCACCAGTCGAAGGCAACGTGGGCCCACCTCAACCACCTGTGCGGCGATGGGGACGCGTTGTTCATGCTCGGGCTGGGCCTGCGCGCCGTGCGGCGCGTTGACATGGAGGGGCGTTCCTCCCGGTACGGGGAAGCGTTGGCGGCCGCACGGCCGACGCATCTCGTGCTGCACAGCGGCTTCAAGAACGAGCACCGGAACGAGTGTCGGTCGCTCCTGTTTAGGCTGAACAGGGCTATAACACACCTCGGGATTGATCTGTGTCCGAAGACCCATGCGCTGGATGACACTATGGTGCGTGCGCGTCTTCTCGCTGGGCTCGGTGTGTGGATGCTCACCGCGGCGCCGCGATGCAGGAACCGCTCGTGAAGACGATGCAGGAAGTTCGGAACCTCGCGTTTGTCGCGGTGCGGCTGCGCGCAGTCCCGCTCGAGGAGGAATCCCCGTACGGCCGCGACGACCCGCGCCACCCCGAAATCCGCAGGTATTTGCACCCCATCGAGGGCTCAGACGGGGAGCTCGGGGCTACCGAGCTCTCGGACTGGGTGGGCAGGATGGCCCAGGCGGCGCCCGCGCTGCGGTACGTGTCGTTCGATCTGGAGGGTTATCCGCCGTGCTACTTCCGGATACTCGCGCCAGGGGTCGTAGGGATCCTTGAACCGGACGAGGGGGAGGCCGTCGTACGCAGAAAGGGCATGGAATGGCGGCGTCGCGAGCCTAGACCGCCACGGTTTGAGGAGGGGAAGATCCTGGATAAGGCGACGGGTCAATGGGGTTAGAATTAGGATTAGTTTGATGTGCACTGTCCAGTGGTGGCGACTCGACTACTGACTCTGCGTGCTGAATCTAGTGGGAAGCGTTGAGTACGTGCAGCCGTAGACATTGGGGAGACGGTCATGCGCGTGTACTGTGTGTTGCTAGTGTTACTTTTCTGGAAAAAGACGAAAACTTAGGCCCCACCGTGGTTCGAACACGGGACCCT